CACAGGTGTGACCAAAACTTGCCGCAAAATGACGTGGTCCACGTGGCAGGAGTGACTAGGCATCGGGACGAGCCGAGAGGCCCAAAATGGTCTAGCTTCTCCGGCTTCTCCTCGCCCCTGCCAAGCCTCCGTGACCCAAAGCGCTTTCTATCCATCTACTAGCAACTCACCTCCCCTCGCAACGCTGCAGGTCAACTCATGACTGACCGCTGATGGTTCTGTCCCGTATTGTCGTTCGAAAAGCACCATAGAAGATGTGAGCTCTGCTATGCGGGTGGAACCGGAGAATATTCGCGCAAGTAGTCTCCAAAGTGGTTGTTTTACTCTTGTTGAGTCAATGAGCTCAAGGTGACATGGCCCTGCCCTGGATGTCGCAGGAGCCTACGAGTGAGGATAGATTGCCATATCCAATGTTACCGCATAGTTCGACGACAGTATGCGGACATCACCACCAACGATCTCTGCCGCCTAATCCTCTGTACACTGCTTGAAACCCAGCCTTCCTTCCCACAGAGCGTTACCGACCTCTTACTGCAATCACTGTTAACCGAGCTACCATCAAATGAACTAGTATTGAATATCAAGTGACTTCCTTCCGATTTGCAAACACATATCGCAGCGTACCTCCACCCATGGCCCGAGATAATAGCTCTTGCACAAACACGCCCGCTAGTAGACTACATGCGTCTTGGATGTGCGCCAAGCGACACTATCTTCTACTTTTGTCCCAAGAAACCTCTCTACATGGAAAAGATGATATTTCAGAATAAAGTGTACGTCTCTTGGATCACGAATACAGGACGGCTGGACGGGAAAAACGACCATTCGGACAGCGAGTCTTTCTAGTTCTGGAGAGATTGCTTTGGTGTCCGCGGCATGTCAATCGACCTAAACCTACTTCTAGAGGCAGAAAAGGGGAGCTCTTACTTCTACGGTCAAGTGAATATCCGTGAAATACCCCTGGATACACAACTGATTGGCCACACAAACGGATGTTTGCCCCGTTTCTACATATTGCTTGGCTGGGAAAGAATAGGGACTGTTCCTGCGAATGCTAGGACTCGGGTCGAGGGAGAAGCGAGAAACTGTCGAGTGGTAGGATACACCCATTCATCCTGCATGGAAAAATTTCATCAAAATCTCTACGAAACTGACACGTAGTGAATCGCACACCTTTCAATTCATACCACTTGGAGAAACAAAGACTACTATCGGCTGTTCCCGTGGTATTCTACGGTCGGCATATTCACGGGCAGCGACAAGGCAGCATTCCAAGAATTTGTGGCACGACTTGAAGCGCTCTTTGGTCCAACCACTCTCGTCTTTGTTCATTGTTCTCTCTCCCAGAGTGAAGCGATCGACAGAGTGTCCATCAGAAAAAGAGTGAGACTTAGAACAGGTATAGTAGTAGAGGTAAGTAAAGGACATTCAAGGAGCAGCTGCTTGCACAGGCTGACTCCCAACGCTAAGATGGGCACAAACTTTGAAAGAACTGTCGTCTTCGGACCACACATTGGGCCAGGGGACGAATCATATTTTCTATGCGATGGCGTGGTATGAACCGATGGTTCTCCGGTTCAAGCCGTTTATCATTCAATCATCACCAGTTCGGAATCAACTTTTACCGACCCTGGTGTCTTGAACACTGAAGAGATGAACACTACCCACGAAAACCTTTCTCAACCGAGCTTTGTCAACTGTCCCCAGGGCGGAGCTCCTAATTGAGATTGGTATTCAAGCATGGCACCCCTCGAGCACGTTGCTTCTCTGATGGTATGCCAAGACACATCGGTCGAGCTTCATCCATGTATTGGCATGCTTCTGAGATATGATGACGGTTGTGAAGCGGCACTTGGACAAGCCCCGCCTGACATGTCTCTTTCCGATGATCTCAACAAATATGATTGTGAATTCCACCCAGCTGTCATCAATGGTAAGATGCAGATATATGTTCGGTTAAAGGCTTCGGGTGTAATTGAAGGGCCCTGGATCGTTCTACCCGTCAGTGGCCTTCTCCTGTGGTAGTTCGGACCGAAGGGCAATACTCTTCACCGAGTGGAATTGAACTGACCACTTTGTAATACTAACATACGACATCTGGGTCAGATGAATGTGTAGACGTGACAATCCCTCCTAGGAGGTGCTCTCTGTTTACTTTTCGTTGCGTTCTGCAACCCCTCGACAGGAAGCTCGTTCCATTCTCCCTCAACCTTCCATAGTCTAGGATCTACACTGTCCGGTTGCGAGTCGAGCCTCCTCTCCACTCCTTGACTTTTGAAGTGGGTGGTTTTTGGACAGGCTTGTAGCCCTGCATCTAGTAATGTCCATTCTGGAGATGTTTGCAGCATTTGCAGTGCTTGTAATGTTTGATATGTGTGCAGTGTTTACAGCGTTTCTCCTGTTTGGGCAAATGTCGACAAAATGTCACCAGGACGAGGTAATAGATAAAGGTATCCCTTCAAATTTCAACAAATTCAATCATTTTTCAAAGGACTTAGCTGTAACAGCGCAACTATTCTTCAAAGATTTTGGCACCCCTTCGGTCGTTTAGGGAATCCTGTAAGCATTGGTGATAGAGCCAGCCAGCTCGGACGAGGCCTTCAGAGAGCCTCGTCACGAAAAGGAAAAATATAAGCGCCCGGTTCAGCTCATCTGTGCTACGTAGTTGAGGGATTGACGGTGCCTCTTGATGCTGTCATCGATTGACAGACTTTCTTGCGAAGAGGGAGAAGGACAGCTGTATCTGGTTTCTTTTGTAAGATAAAATAAGGGAGGTGCCGATTCCCTTCGACCACGCCGACCAAAGAAAATGACAGCCAAACATGTATTTTGTTTATGTGTTTGACAGACGCCTCAGCAGGGATCTATTGGTCGCAGAAACGTTCATCTGCAAACACCTATCTCCGGTCTTGATCCCATCCCGGCCAGATCTCCTGGGACAGCTTGTTGACCAGGTCCAGCTTTGCCCACATGAGGTCCATGGTCATACCGACTCCGCCTTCCGAGTGGTCACTCGCAAAGCCACACTGGGGCGACACGGCGAGGTTGTCGCGTAGGGCGTCTTCCCTGGTCCTCCCGTTCCCCTGTCCCTCGGCCACCACGTCGGCCGCCTGGTAGACTCGGTTCTTCAACTCGTCCAGGTCCTCCATCTCGGCGGACTTGGTCGTCACCACGCCCAGGACCACCGCCTTGTCCGCCGGCAGGTACTTGAGGGGCGTGAAGTCGCCGGCCCGGGGACTGTCGAATTCGAGATAGAACAGCTTGTACGCGGTCTCGTTGAACAGCTTCCTCGCGATCCGCTCGTAACTCCCGCTGGCGAGGCCCACGCCGTTGGGGAAGTTCCCGCGACAGATGTGGACGCCCACGTGGAGGTCCGAGGGTAGGTCGGTGATGGCGTCGTTGTGGGACCGCACGTACAGCTCGAGCAGCCGGCCGAGGTCGACGCCTTCGTCCTGGCACGTCCGGATCCACTCCTCGTCGCAGAAGAACGACAGGTTGGGGTCGTCGACCTGCACGACCCTTAGGCCGTGCTCGTACAGGGTCAAGATCTCCTTCCTGAGCGCGGCGCTCAGATCCCGCAGCAGCGCCTCGTCGCTCTCGTACAGGTCGCGGTCAAAGGGCTGCTTGAGCTGGATGTGCCACCAGCCGGGCGGCGGGACCGTCATCTTGGCGTCCCTCCATCGGTCCTCTGGCAGGAGGCTGCGGAAGTACAGCCAGTCATCCAGGTACGCCGACTTTTCGAGGGTGACCTTGTTCGAGGTCGGGAACCCCGCATCGCGCCCGGGGAGACCCCATTTGATCAGGGGCCGGTTCGTGGGGAACCCGACCTTGAACTCGGACATGGGCGTGTACCGCACCGTGAAGCCCGAGAGCGACTCGAAGAAGTTGCCGTAGAAGATCCCCCGCTCGTACTCGCCCGTCGTGATGGGCAGGACGTGTCGCGCGAGCTGCTCGCCCACGACGTCCTTGATCGCCTTTGCCTGCTCGGTCCGCAGGACCTCCATCAGATCGACATCGCCGGACGAAGAACCCGCAGTGGCATCGCCGGCGGCAGCAACTTCCTCCTGATCGCCAGGGCCGTTTCTGAGCCGCGCCCCCTGGAGATTCGTGTTGGTCCTCGCATCGACCAGACTCTTCGGCCGGAGCAGCGACCCGACCTGATCGGCTCGAAAGGGCGGCGCCATGACAAAAGCACTCGTGGATTGTGGTGGAAAAAAAACCTCCCTGTGAATACTCACGATTCGAGCTCGTCGGATACAGCGTCAATCCTTGTTCTCGGGTCCCTTTTCGTGAGACAGAAAGACGTCGTATCAATACAATATCGCGTGGGGCACCGACTTCGGACCTTTGGGATTTTATATTGCAGCCCACATGAGGGGGGGACTTGTTGCCAATGACACCATGTGGGGCCCCTTTTCATACCTACAGTAGGTCTTGATATGTTGATATATGTAGATGGGAACATCCATCTCTGGCGGGGACGTGGGCCTCCTTCAAGCAGGGTGTTTCACAAAGGGGTGTGCGGGGACGAGATTCCAACGGCTTTGGCCTATCTATTTCCCAATGTTCTCGGAGCATCGAGAGAAAGCACCAGTGCCGGATCACAAGACAAAAATGTTCCAAACCCATGGGCACGATATGCTTCCCGTCTAACTGTTTGTTTTGTGATCGCATGCACGGTTCGGTAGTTCCCAGAGCCTTCTGAACGACAAACTCTTGCCAATTGTTCTGATTCATCTGCCACAGGAGGATGTAAATATGTACACATCTTGACGCCATACACCATCCCAGAGGCAATCTGACCCCTTGGAACCTTTCATCAAAGCAACCTCTTAACGCAATTATTCACTTTTGTTACAAACGCACGTAACCTCGAGACATGTAATATGGAGCGGAAAGCATTCGTGACTGTCGTATAGAATCAAGCAATATTACCAGCCATTCCCTAGTACTGAATTAGTCGACGGGTCGCCGGAGGACGGACAACAAGCTGAGCTAGCTCAAGTGGCGACAAGCAGGCAGACTGGACTTACCAGGAAAATGGCCTGCACTGCAAGCTGCAAACTCCATAATCCCACTTTCTTAAACCGTCTCAACCGTGCCTGCTCATCTGTCACATCTCTTGCGAACGCGTCGTACACTTCGGCTGACAAATCATCCATCAATCCGGAATCAAAGACGGTCCAACTGCCATCAAAGTCTGAGAGTCGTTTGACAACCCGACAATTGATTGGAATGAATGTTCGCCGGGAATTGATGTAGGCAACAATGGGACGGATCAGTGCGTTGTTGATATATGATAGGTCGCGGGTGAAGATGGGGACGACGGCGCGAACGTCGTTCAAGTGAATGCGGAGATCCATGACTATGAATCGCTTATCCTCTTCTCTCACCGGTTGAGAGTTGGGATTCGACAACACAACTCCACCAGAGGCAACGGGCTCGTCTTGTTGGGAACTCTCGCCGTATCGCTGTTGCTCAAGATGTTTCCTCGAGGTCAGTGTAGCTTCCATTCGTTCATAGAAATCAGTCACGACCTTTATAACAGATTCCTCGCTGTCGTTGGGAATCATAATGTCCGCCACAATATCAACGTTTCCTTCATGAATCCAAGATAAGGGACCGACCACGCCGCGGTTGATGTGGTCGATGTTTATGCCATCAATGCGAATGCGCGATTGTTTCTTCCAAGGTTCGTTGGACGGATCTTCGGGGTCGTAAAGTACTGTACCAGTATAGGAGTGCGTCTGTCGAGGATGAATAGTGAAGAGGGATTTGTCGAACTCGCCCGTGATGTTGTTCGCACAGAGGAAATCATAGAACAACCACTGCTTCCGCAATCTAGGCAAGTCGGCGTTGTAGATACTGACAGGGAACGGCCGGAATCCTTCAGGCTGGAGGATTGTGAGCAGAAGATCTTCAATTTTGAAGGATTCGATCTCGAAATCCCCAGGGTTGTGTTCATGTCTCAGCGACTTTGGATCAATCTCTTCGCCTGTCGCAAAAACATGAGTTCGATCGACAACCCCTCTCACGTGTTTAACTTCCACATTTTGTAAGAGGCCCTTGGAGTTCCACCATTTGCTAAATGAGAGGGTGACATTGACTTCCCCGATAGTGATGTCGAACTGTGTATAGTTCTGCTCTTCTGGAGGCACGGGATCTTCTGCCGAGGATGCTTGGGCAGCTGCTTCGGGGGATCCTTTGGTTACTCGGGATCGGACTCGGCCGGGTCTCCTGGAGACAAAGACGTTCTTGAATGTGATGACCCCATCACCCCACTTAGGGACAATGGCAGACTCGAAAACGACCTGAAGGCCAGACGACTTTGTCAAGTAATTCCCAATCCAGCCAGCAAGAGTTTCTTGTGCAAAGACGGTGTTGATGGCTAGAATGGCCAACGAGACAAATGTCGTCGTACCGACAACAATCCAGATGACATGACCTAACGCGATCCACGAGATGAATCCGACAATCTCATCTAGGTTGAACGGCCTCGTACTCTTGATTGTGAACCATTTAAAATGGACCTTGAGGCGAGACCAGAATCCTGTGGCCGCAGCCAGTAGTTCTTCCTTTGTAGGACGGTGGAACTGCGGCATGTGCAGTCTATCGTAGAAACGACTTTGATAGAAATGAGCCTGTCCCGAGCCAGGCTGTGAGTCAGCTGGTTTTGCTGAGCCAGATTCAGGCGCATTTTCTGCTCTCTCTTGTTTTGTGCGTCCCTCGCCTCCATTCTCGGACTTTTGTCTTCGAAAGCGTGTAGTATGAAAATCTCGCCGCCGGACCAAGTGTGGTATTTTGCTTTGGCTACTACGGACGCACTTCAAGCCTCTCCCAAGACCCAACCATCCAGGATCTGGCATGTGTCCATCTTTTCTGGAATATGCTCGCAGCCAAGGTGGACTTGATCTCAACGGGGATTGTGTACCTTGCCCAACAAAAATTTCAGTCGAAAATGATCGAGTCTTGACAGGAAGCTTGTTGGGCTGCCACAGTCGGCGCGCGGTGTTGTTCGGCGTCGTTAGGCTTGATATTCGTCTGGGTATGTGGTATCTGAAGCTTCGGGGGGACGACGCAGGTAACCTTTCGACGGCTTTTGTCGACCGCGCTGGCGCACAAGCAGCAATCCTCGAGACATGGCGCATGCCTTGGACGAAGGCCTCTGTCATGATTGAAAGACCATATCGGCCGATGGATGAACACAATCCTGGTTGAGCAGAAAAGGTCGTCGTTGGGAGATGGTGTGGTCGAGGATGGCGAGTAGTGCAGAGAGACAAAATGCATGTGCAAGATGATGCAAGTTTATGCGGAGATCCACAATCATTTCTTCAGGTGCGGAGAAAACTTGCACCTCACGAGCTCAGCATGGCTGTGGCCTTGTCGCCTCACAAAAAGGGTAGAACACGTCAAAGGGCAAGCAAACGCTCTTCTTGTCATTGTTGTACAGTTCACTGCTATTCACATCCCATACCGCAGCATAGACTCCTTCAATGCGCTGTCGTGAGATAACATCCTCGTTGTTGAAGTCCCGATCGTCCGAGAACGAACGCACAGACACTCAACATACCCTAACGTGCCTGACAGCGCCTGGTCAACATGCCTTCGCATTCCACGACTCAGACTGAACGCTGGAAATGTCCCCTGTGCGCCTGAGGTAGAATGGACTAACAAGAAGGAAAGTGACGTCTCAAGGCCACCGTCCAGTAGATTCACATGCGCGTACTACTCTTCTCATCGATGCGTCTTCGCCGAAACCTCACATTCATGCTCTCGTTTGTGAACAAGATCTTCTACGTCTCTCTTTGCGATCTATTTGTTCCGATAACGATCATAGTATTACAAGCATGCCTCCGTGTCCCAGGGCAAGGCTGGCTCTTCGATTTTGTGAAGGTCCTGGCTCCGTAAGCGATCGAATAGCCGGACCAGTGGAAAGCCGGAAACCAATCTCCAGCTAAGCGATCTGAAAATTTGGAAACGAGTTTTCTTTACCTGCATATCACTCACCCGTACGAAGAAGGCTTGCACACCAAAAAGAATGCTACGGCATTCGGCACGCTTTGCCAAACTCTGGGCTCAAAAAGAAGACGGTCTGGGCACTTGGCCTCCAGACAAAATGGGCATTGAGTTTGCATCGTCAGACTTTGCCAGTCCCCAAGATAGGACTAAGCCACCTGCAAGTGTCAAATAGCAGCAGGTCTAGAACAGAATGCCAGGACGCGGCTCCAGCACCAACATCAAGCCAAACGTCAAAGGCCAATGACAACCGATGCCTACATGTTCTTGCACGACTATTACTTTCTGCCCAAGTGAACAAGCACGGGAGTACTTAGGGGCCAAAAAGGTACACCAACATCATGTGGCGCAAGCATTACCCAATGCGCTATCACCATGTCTTTGCGATGGTTGCGGTGTTGGCGGAGGCGGACTGCAATCACTGCCTCTCAGCCGCGGCAGCCGAGTGTCTAGGAACTGGGGATAAAGCTTTCTAGAGTTCCAGTACGAGGTGGTTCGGCTGTCAGTTTGCTCTTTCTCAGGAACACGGTTCTGAATCAGTGCTCCCCATTCACCTCATACACGATGTTCTGGATAACTTTCACGGCGGTCTTGCTCGCCGTCTCCAGCGTCCAAGGTGGACTATTGCGATCCTCCATCACTCAGTGGTTCTGGCAATCCTGTAATATGCAGTCTCCCCGCATTTGGTTGGGCTATCACTAATGTTTCAGCGACTGTCGTTGGCAATTGGCTTTACATTTCGGATGGGGAAGCGTGGGAGTGGACTAACGGGACACTGAGGTCCTTCTATCGTTACGTTACCACCACTTCCCGACAAACGAGACCTCGACGAGACTGACTGTCGCAGTCTGGCCCACCATTTCGGTCGACCTCTCCCAGTCGTGGACCAATGTCACGGTCTATATTGCAAACAACTCGGAGCCGGACCCGGACATGCCACACCGCAGATGGCCCGCGACTTGGTATGATGATACGACGGGCAAAGTGTACAGATATGGGGGTTGGGGATACAATAGCACGGACTGGACAACCGATCTTTGGTCTTATAAACCCGGCGGACGCACCATCTACTGGTCCCAAGAAGTCTCACCTGTAACAAATGGGCTGTCGTTCGGATCCAATGCACCCTTTTCATCAGCCTGGACAGTCGGCAACTCAAAGTTGTACAGCTTGGGAGGCGCCATCTCTAATGGGGCAATACGCGACCCAAATTTCATCGTCCCTGGCTTGGTGACGCGTGACTCGTCGACTGGGCGCTGGAGTAACTCTACAACCAACATTCCAGACAGCTCGCCATACTTCACCCAGGCAAAAGCTGAGTTTGCCTCAAACTTTGGGCAGGAAGGTTTCGTGGTTGTTGTCGGAGGTGCTAATCCAAGCCGACAAGCCTTCGAGTTCCAGCAAGAGACATCATTACGCGACATGGCAGATATTATCTTATACGACGTATCCACAGAGGAGTGGTATGTCCAGCGAGCGACCGGAGATATCCCTCCACCAAGAACACAGTTCTGTACAGTAGGAAAGGCTTCATCCGACGGGAAGACATACGAGCTGTAAAGAATATCCCTTCCGCACCTAGAGACTCAGACTGACGTGACCGTGTTAGATTTGTATACGGCGGCATGACGAATACAACAAACGACCTCAACTATCCTAATGAGCCTGGGTACTTGAATGTTTATGTCCTCTCCCTGCCTGCGTTCAGATGGTTTCAAACCCCTGCCTCAACGACGACGCGGCGGTGCAGCCACACATGCTCCATCATCGGCAACAGGCAGATGATCTCTATCGGCGGTCGTCCGCCTAGCACGTTGAACCAGTTCGGCGCCGATTACGACGAGTGGGCTAGTGGCATAGGGATTATGGACATGACTGAATTGCAGTGGAAGGACCACTATGACGCTGCAGGTGCACCATACAAGCGAGCGCAGGTAATCGACAACTACTACAACCAGAGTTATGTGAAGCCCGCGTGGAGTGATCCTGTATTGGCAGCACAATTTGGTAAGTGTTCCTATGCATCTCCAGGCGCAGGGATAGAGGGACAGTTTCAGTAACAACAAAAACAGCATTTGCCGGCCCGACTAACGCCACTACCACCACACCATCGACGCCGACGACACCGGAGGAGACAAGCCCAGTGCACCCTGCTGACACATCAACATCGCCTCCTGGTCCTAAGTCTCATACCGGTGCCATTGCTGGCGGCGTCGTCGGCGGCGTTGTGGGCTTAGGCCTGATTGCTGGCCTCGCATACTTTCTAGGGACCCGTCGTCACCGCAAAACAAGCGCCACAAGAGAAGCCGTCCCTCCACCATCCGAGCCAAAATCTTCGCAAATACCCAACAGTCCGTCGTCAGGGCAGAAACCATCACCAGAGTTTACTCAAGCCCAAGTCTTTGAACCAAGTGAACTTGAAGGCGAGACTCGACAAGTAGCCGAATTGCCGGGCTATTATGGGAACTTTGGGCCAGGACAACGATAACACATGAAAGCGGAGCTATGCAGGGGCTGGTATAGTATGTATGGAGTCCGCAAGCCAAAGCTGGGTGTCATTCAGGGTCTTTTGAGCCGGTGTTTTTCTCGATTTCGAGGTGTCATAGTGTGGCTTTGTGTGAATGAGCTTGATGATTTGGAATGATTGGTTATCATAGCAGCCATCCACGACTTTTCAGTGTATAGAATTTTAATCAAACGGTAATCAAATCATCCCATGTTGTCTCTACATCGTCACAATAAAGAATGACCTTGCTAGTAGTTTCTCTGGTGAATCGATCACAATGTGCTGGTGGAGAAGTCAGCCTGAGTTCAATGTCCCCACAATGCGATGTGAAATGTGCCAATCTTGCGGAGAAAATTATTTCTGTGAAAGAACCTTGTCAAAGTGTATTGGAACTCGCTATTACATAGATCTAATTATCGACTGCCTGGGCCGCTTTTATATTCACCATTCCTAGCGCCTTGGCTGATATTTCACATTTCTTTTACCGAACTTCAACCGCGCTACACAAAATCAGTTGTCGACTGGGAATCTCGAGAACTCGACAACAGCGCAGGCGACTACAGTGTGTACGAAATTAAGGTCGAGACGAGAACAATAGTTCTTATATCTAGAGCTCAACAATGCCTGCTCCGACGGCGCTTCAGCGCGTGCCTCCAGAGACCATCACAGAATCTGCATCCCAAGAACCCCACCACATACATCCTCCCGCCGAAGAAAATATCGATGTGGACATAATAACAGCACCGCAACCGGAGAGCATTGTACCGCAGACACAAGAAGAAGAAGAAGAAGCAGACACGGCAATGCAGATGGACGAAGAAGGCCGGCCTCGCTTCGCACCCGCCTCGACATCACAAGTGGGATTCGAGACCGCAACGACAACGACGACGCCGGTCTTAAGAATACAATCTCGCAAGGTGCCGGTGCCGCCGCACCGCATGTCGCCGCTGAAGCAGAGCTGGGCGAAGATCTACCCGCCGCTGGTGGAGCACCTGAAGCTGCAGGTGCGGATGAACGTCAAGTCCAAGGCGGTCGAGCTGCGGACGTCACGCTTCACAACGGACACGGGGGCGCTGCAGAAGGGCGAGGACTTTGTGCGGGCATTCACGCTGGGGTTCGACGTCGACGACGCCATCGCCCTGCTGCGCCTCGACGACCTGTACATCGAGACCTTTGAGATCAAGGACGTTAAAACCCTGCAGGGCGAGCACCTCGGCCGCGCCATTGGCCGCATCGCAGGCAAGGATGGCAAGACCAAGTTCGCTATCGAAAACACCTCAAAGACCCGCGTCGTCCTCGCCGACACAAAGATCCACATCCTCGGCGGCTTCCAGAACATTCGCATTGCCCGCGAGGCCATTGTCAGCCTGATCCTGGGTGCCCCGCCCGGCAAGGTCTATGGGAGTCTACGGACCGTGGCGTCGAGGATGAAAGAGAGGTTTTGAGACTTTCTCTGTCTCTCTCTCTCCACCCCCTCCACCAGGACTTTTTCTTCACTATTACCCATGGCGCGATGCATCAAAAATCCTCAGATTTTTCACGAGTGCATACATATGAAGCAATGATAAAATGGAACCGGGCGGCGTTTGGGATGATGGATCGGTTTGCACGAAAACAATGAGGGGGACAAAGGTGTGAGTGATCTGGCGCCACTACTCATGGAAGCTCAGGCATATCGTTACAATGGAAAAGGAACAGAGATAGAAACCAACTGATGACTGCCCCTGGTAAAACTAGATTAGCCTAACCGATGTGGCTTCGGATCTCCAGCCTGATCCTATTTCGCGCCGAGCTATGCATACAGCAACAAAGCCTCCTTAGAAGCTGAGTCTTCAGTGTGGTTCTAATCCCTCTTGAGAGGTGTGAATGTCTCCTCTATTCCGTCCTTGGTGATGACCAACATCTGCAAGCCATCGCCCACCTCAATATGTCGTTCTGTCGCACTGGTAAATGCATCCTTGACCAATCCTACAACCACATCCTTCGGCAGGCTCTCGATCGGTCTCTGCTTCAAGTCAAGTCCCACACCTGACGCCGGTATGTACTGATTCTTGTAGTTGACCTGGTTGTCCAGAAACGGCATGATCAAGCTCGCCGCTGCGCCCGCGGCCCGACACTGTTCTCGCTCGTAGCTCCCCACAGGATCGTACGAGTATAACGCCCCCTTACCATCCTCGTCCAACCCCCCCAGAATCGCGTGCACGTAGTATGGGAAGAATCTTTTCTGATATAGGATTGTGGAAAGACGTTGCGCGCACGCCTTGACGCTCATAGGTTTGTTGTGTTGGTATTTGTACATCTTGACGATAGCATCGAGGCGTTCTTTCAAGGCATTGCCGTCGGCCGCGAAGCCTACAACCGCAAGCACGATCCGTGATGACTGTTCGTCGGACCCGTCCTCTCCAATACGGAACAATTTGGGCACGTAGCGAGAGTTGATGTTGTAACCAGAGGTAGACCGCGTGTCGCCGGCGAGGATGGCAAAGTCTGCACCTGTGATGCCTAGTGTGGACCCGCCGTTGTCGGTGTATCTATTCCCAGGTCAGTAAAGATTACTGTAGTTCAGAAGACAATGGTGAACGAACGGATAGAAGGCATGTTGTTTGGCTCCTGAGGCCTCTTGTGCTGTTGCGGTGTGGTTTGCAAAGGAATAGCCCGGTTGATCTGAGGGTATGCGCTCTGAGTTCATTAGAGACGCCATGGGTGCGGATAGGTTTTGTATGTTGGAGAGTATATTAGTAGAGGAAGAGAGGAAGGGAGATCAAGGTGCTGAATCTTTCAATTCATCAATGACCTTACATCCAAATGATTGTCCCGAGTACGCAACTGCTCTCTCCGCCTAGTTGCACCGCCACACCTGTGGCTGGTAACGCCAAGCAGACACGAGCGCCACATATGGTGTGGGCGACTTTTGATCTTTGAACAGGATCAGCACTGGGCTTTGAGCTTATCGTCCCATGAACCATTACTTTGCGTTCAGTCTGTCTAAAGGACGGGAAGAACGTTCAAGAAATGAGTGGGCTCGTCAGCTATGAGAGTAGCAGCGATGAAGAGGGGCTGCGCACCCCAGAGGCCGCACCCAGCATGTCAGCCAAGGGGAAACCAGCTGTGCCAGCCAACTCCGCAATTCCAACTGAGGGCATCGAGAACAGTAGCGGCAGCCAAAGGTTGCCAGCGACAGACACGGGCACCAGCACAGGTATCGGCAATGGGCCAATCCTAGGTCCCACCATGCCGGTTCAAATGCACAGCGACGACGATATTGTTGAGCAACAGAGCTCTATGGAAACGTCACAGCGACACATGACCGAGCGGGAAACTATACATGTGCTTACACAGGCGACCCATCCCATGACGGCCATTCCACCCTCTCCCCCAGGTTCTCCTGATCCCGCACTGGACGCTAAATTCAAGCGCTTTGTGGAGCTTAAGGCTAAAGGAGTTCATTTCAACGAAGACCTCGCGAAGAAGTCTACCTTCCGCAATCCTGCGTTATTAGCTACTATGATGGCTCGGGCAGGAGTGGACGGCGACGACCAATACAGAACTGCTCTACCACGGGAAGTCTGGGATCCGTTGGGGTTTCCTCCGTCGGGCTACAAGGAGGAATTGCATCGAAATCAGCAAAACCTACGGGAGCAAGACTCAAACCTCAAGAAAACCCTGTCAGCTGCCGGAAAAAGAACCATCGAGTTCACCTCAGGCAAAATATCTGGGACTTCCAGCAGGGAATCGACGCCAGGAGCGGCTACCAAACGAAAACGGCCTGGGTGACATGTTTCCCGATCTCGCATGTTTGAGAAATGCTACCAGGGCTGACCGGAGCGGGATCGAATTTGCAAGGATACCGAGAAGCGAGTTGCCCTCAATGCAACCCTCCGAAAGGCATCCCTCATCACTGCAGGCATAACATGCTGGTGTGTGCCGAGCATTTGTCAAGCCAAAGGATCTTTCCCAATAGGTGTGGTCATGAGCCCTGTGCCTCGAGGTTGTAGAAGAGGGACGGAGGGCCAATCGCGGTCAGTCTGATATCACGTCTCGAGGCCGTGCATGTTCCCAACCCGGAAGGAAGGTCAGCAAGAGTAGAGAGTTCCCTCAAGAATAAGGGAAACGCCCACTACAGACCGCTCGGTGGTGACCAAAGGATCTGGTCGGTGTGAAAGGGTGTTGGTGATGCATATCCAAACCTGAAAAGGCGGACATGATTGGACTGAGGCTAAGCCTAGGGCAGGCCAATCATACGAATGGACTAGGTGTGCTCGGGTTCCTGCAGCTGAAACGATCCGAGCGTCGGCTTGAGGTGGGAGGGTGACTCTGGCGGCGTCTGGACAGAGAAAAGATGTCCCCTTGCCCACCCCTATGTTGAAGCTCACCCCCCTCTTTCTTGCAATACGAGTAATGAAGCAGGGGAAGGGACCAGGAATTTCTCGATTGGCATTGTGCCTTTGCCAGGGGGGCCGGTAACCTTCGCTTCGCTTCTCGGATTTTCAGGGTCCAGAATCTGATCGGCGCCGGGAGAATGACCAACAAGGAGCTCCAGGTACTTGAGGATATGAGAGGGGTGCAGCGTTGGACCGTTAATTTAGACGTACGGAGTAGTTCTGTCAAAGAGGAGGGTCGCGTCGGTTACATCTCTGTAAAGCTTGGTCAGAGGTTTGGTCTCCAAAAAGCGGGCCAGGCACGTTTGTTTCAAGCGTTTCCCGCGAGTGTTTTAAAACCAATTTGCGCGGATTTCTGTCGTTGCAAAATGCTCAGATACGAGTCCTTTGCACGGAGGTATTGAAGAGATGATTGGCGCACGGACCTCAAAGAGAAGGACGATAGACAGACAGGTGTAGGTCAGCCGGCTCAGTGTTCCAGCTGGAGTGATTCCTCTATCTCTGACCTGACGCAGATGTTCATTAGGCAAAGGTGGAGAGAGGTACAATCTTTTGGTGCATGATTGCGTCTTTGGTAGTGGCTTTGGCGCTGGTTTGGGCTTGTCGTGCTGCCAAACAAGTGGGAATCCGTGGGAACCGGGGGAGAGGTGACAGCCAGTGGCAGCGCAGAGGGAAGATTGGCAGGCAAACGTTCCATTTTCTAACTTCTCTCCACCTCCATGTCTTGTTCTTCGTATTGTCCAACACTCGTCCACGTTGGCCTCTGACGGCCAATCGCCTGACATCTGGGTGTGCCCTCGGCGCTTATGGCCACCACCTGAAGCTTGCCCTCCGCTGCAATTGTCACTCGTTCTTTTGTGAGGACGCACGAGTAAATCGACACCGACTTCGACACTGTCTCCATTAGGCTCTTCTGCGCCCTCCGAGCCTCTAGGAACTTTGTCAACTCGTCCTTGCGCCGCTTCGCACAGCTGGCCTGTCAGCGGTCTCCAAGTGTTTCCCCCCCATTACTATTGCCAGTAATGGCCCAAAGTCTAAGATACAACCCCCCCATTCCCTATGCAGCCTGATCGAGTTGCCTGAAATGTCCCAGTTGACCGCCGACACACTCCCCCCTCAGTCTCCCCAGGATCGTTTGGCTCAAACAACAGCTGCTGTTTCACCCTCCTCGCTGGCCACACCTCATTCGTACGTTCTAGCCTCCCGCAAACCACAGAGTTCCGCCGTGCTACAGGGTAGTTTAATCCCCCGAGACTACTTGAGCTCGTTGTCCAGCTCGAAGCCGACGCCAGCACAGCAGAGTAAGATCGAGGAGGACGACGACGACTTGTATGGGAAGGCGCCTACACCTCATGATTTTGGAAAGAGACACGTTAAACACACACCGGAGGGTGAGGCTGCCCTGACACGGGAGAAGAGCAACGACAGCACTGCGCCGTATAACGAACAGGAGTCGAGCATATCATCTGGCTCTCAAGGCCAAAAGGACCAAGGGGTTACAGCTCTCTCCGAATCCCCAAAGTCGTACGCTTCTTCCTCGACCAGTGTGCACCCACCAAACAACATGCCGCGGACATCCTCCATCGACTCTGCCATATCTAATATCTCCAACCCTTCGCACCCCCAAAGACATCCTGGGGACGTCAAGGAGCCCACAAGAGATGAAGTGCATAATCTCATTGCCACGGCTGGGTCTGCGGAGAATCTAATCCAACACCTCCTCAAGGATAAAAGTCACGCTGCGGCTCAAAATGCCCAACTGTGGAAACTCGTTGACAAGCAGAGGGCACTCTTGTTGGGTCTGAACAAAGACCTCGAGCGGTTGACGAAAGAGAGGGACAGATACAGGAAGAAAATCAAGGAACTGCAGCCTCAGCCCTCTGCGTCGCAGGCGGACCGTCTCCGGCATGAGGAAGGAAACTCGCCTCAGTCCGAGGGGGAAGTATCGATCGTCCCCAAAGATTCTGGACAGGGAACAAGTTTTAGGGCAGAAGGGCACACTCTGGGCACTAGCGTTGGCACTATCCAGATGCAGAGCTCACCCATCGATGCTGCCATGATGCCATCACCCCTTCACCTACAGCAGCAGGGACCAAAAATGCAGAGCTTGGCCACTCAACTGGCACAACCCTCATTTGCGCTCACCGAGGCAACTCCGCTCGCAGAGAAGCCAGCGAAATCTTTCCAGGCATCCAGGAAAGCACCGCCCAAACCGCTTGACCTGCGCCCAGCAAAAGAGGACTTGCAAGCTCACCAAGTCATAGTCCCGAACGAAGCGATTGTCAGTGGAGACGAAGACGAGGAAGAGCGGGAACATGTCCAGAGAGGGCGAAGGAAAACTCGTGAGGAAGATGACCGAGACCGCGAACTTCTTGCCCTGAAAGAGCAGGAAGCGAGAAGTCGGTCTAAAAAGGAGAAAAAGGCAAAGCCTGAAGGAGAGCAAACCACTGCCCCGGATCAGATGCCTCATCCAGCGGCTGTCGCTGAAGTTAGCCAACCCTTACCTTCGAGACAAGATCACCTCTCCCCTGCCTCGATCACGTCAGGCTCAACCGGATCTTCTGCTCAACTATCGCTACCTTTACGAAGTCCCGGTCTTCCAATGAGCCCTCGTCCCATGATGGGATCTGTGCTTCCCATGTCGCCACGTGCTCCCGGAGGTAACTTTCCACTTTCACCTCGCGCACCAAAGATGCCTTTACCTATGCCAACGACACCTGGTCAACAAGCACCTAACCCCCAGATGTTGGCACAAGCACAAGCAACTACTTCTAATTCTCATATGAAGACAGGTCCTTCGTCCCTGTCGAAGATGAACACTACGGCTGGTGCTGAGTTGGATCGAGGTCAGATCCATGAGTCTCCCCTGAGTCCGGGTGACGTGCCGGTAGTGAGTCGTGGGCTTGTTGATCCGAGTTGGCCTGACCTGCTACTGCCACCAAACGCCTTACCCTCGATCCAGGTGAAAGTCGCTTCTTCTCGATTGCGACCCTCGAGAAACAGCATGCTGGGACTGAGGATGCCAGAGGAAAACGCTGTTTTCAGCCTATCGGTCTTTGAGCGTGCGACATCATCTGAGCTTTGGCGCGTGGAGAAAATTCCCACTTCACTTCCAAATCTAGAACAACAACTGAGATCTCGTTGTTCCGATCTACCAAAACTTCCCGACCGAAAACTCTTTTCAGGTCATTCACCCGCTGTTATTGACTCAAGAAGAAATGCGATTAATGACTACTTTGAAGACTTGCTGGATACCCCTATGGATGAACAAGCAGCTGCGATCATCTGCCGATTTTTGTCGACAGATGTCATGGAACCCCAACTCACCAGCATCTCACATGAAAAAGAGGATGCACAAAGCAGGCAGGTACCACAATCGCACTCGGGCATTCCAACCAAATCCGGATACTTGACCAAAAAGGGAAAGAATTTTGGAGGATGGAAGTCCCGATACTTTGTTCTCGACAGTCCAGAGCTGAGGTATTTCGAAGCACCCGGTGGTGCACACCTCGGTACAATCAAGTTATTGAACGCCCGCATTGGCCGACAATCACAATCCGAGCCCTCCTCTAATGCAGAGGTAGACTCAGAAAACCAATACCGTCACGCTTTTCTTATCCTCGAGCCCAAGCGCAAGGACATGAATAGCCATGTGCGTCATGTGCTTTGCGCCGAAAGCGATGCTGAGCGGGACGAATGGGTGGAGACGTTGTTGCACTACATCGATGAGAGACCCGTGGAGCCAAGGCCGCAATATGGGGCGGGCATCCAGTCTTCACACGCCAAGGAGGTGAAAGGGCCTCAAAGATTGGGCCATGAAGACGCAGAGTCTAAATCAAATGGAAGTCCACACACCCATAGCAACACGCCTTCACCCTCGATCGCGTCTAGCCAAACCCCGGAACTCCTCCAGGAAGCTGCGCAAACTTCCAAACCGTACAATATCTCGGGCCCCATGAACGGCGCTGTCATTTCGGATGCTGGAAGCTGGGGCAACAAATCTGCGAGTAACAATAGTGGGAGCAAAGAGCGTGAGCAGAAGAAGCGCAACCTGTTCCATTTCCGGAAGCCGTCATACGAGCAATTAGCCACGGCGCAACCGGCTCATCCCAAGAGGTCGGAGCTCAATACTCACCGAGGTGGGCACGTTAGACCGGTGTTCGGAATGCAACTCCAGGAGGCGGTGGAGTACTACTCACCGGTGGACGCGGAGGTCTATCTTCCGGCCGTGGTGTATCGCTGCATCGAGTTCCTTCGCACCAAGAATGCTGCCAATGAAGAAGGCCTGTTCAGACTTAGCGGGTCGAACATTGTGATCCGGCTGCTCAAAGATCGGTTCAATACAGAAGGTGATGTTGATCTCCTGGCTGAAGATGAGGACTACGATGTGCACGC